GTTACAGGAGTAAATTCCATAAAAGATTCCTAGTTATAGTTCGTTTTACATATTTAGTCCCTACATATCAAATATCAATAATTTAGTTTCCCAATTATTATATTGTTTTCCACGAATGGTTCTTTGTTAACATTTCCATTAAAACACATGGATAAAATTGTAAATTCATACTCTCCTCTCTCCTTAATTAAGCTCCCTTTCTCCTTTCGCACTCCTTTCCAAACTCGTCCCTGAGTTTGAAGCTTTGAACCCAAAACCAAAATCATCCCTTTTCTCTGAATTTTTCGTCTTCCTCATGGAATCCAAAATCGAAACCAGTAATCTTCATGAATGAGTTTTAAGTTTTGTTTTCTTTGCAATTTCTTGAGACTAACCCATAAAATTCATTCATGAAGGTTATTGGTTTCGATTTTGAGTTCCACCAGGAATATGAACAATTGAGAGAGGAGCGATCGTTTCGGTTTTGGGTTTAGAGCTTCAAACTCAGCGATAGGTTTGAGAATGAGTACGAGAGGAGGGATGAAACTAAATTGAAGATAGAGAGGAGTGTGAATATACAAGTTTATCTATATTCTTAATAGAAATGTTAACAAATGACTATATGTGGAAAACAATATAATAATTGGAGACTAAATTATTGATATTTGATAGGTAGAGACTAAATATGTAAAATGGCCACAAGGGACCTTTTATGAAATTTACTTTGATATAAGAATAAATTGGAAGAAACTCGAAGGAGTTGGAAAAAATTGGAAGAAACAAAATAATGTTGGAAAATATTAAGTGTTTGAAACAACTCAATTAAATAATCACACAAATTAATATGTAAAAAACTAAATTTAGATTAAAAAAAATCATATTTGTCTTTGTTTAAGGTGGTATGCTATAAATTTATATATATATCGTGTCATTGTATATTTATCCTAACTAAATCACTTTGTCAGTCATTGTTGGAAGAAACTAGAAGGAGTTGGAAGAAATTAGAAGAAAATTAGAAGAAATGGAAGAATTTGAAAGAAACTGGAGAAGTCAGAAGAAATAGAAGGAGTTGGAATAAACGGGAGGGAGTTGAAAAAAGTTGAAAATAAGGTTTTGTTCTCTTCAACTTATTCTTATTACTTGTTTTTATTGGAACGAGTTCAGATTAGACCAGCTTAGAACAAAAACATTTTTAAATATAACTACATTAGGATCAAATAAGATCAAACCAGATCAAATAAGATCAAAACTTATTTCAATCCAATGAGAACCGTTCATATCAAGTGAAAAGAATATGGTCTAAACTTTTATAACCCAATCAAACAAACCCTTACACATTGTTTGAGAAAATGGTGGGAAAGAAAAAAAGAAATGACAAAACACAAATCTCAACACAAATTTTCATGCTTGGATGAAGAAGAAAAAAGTGAGAAAAGAAAAAATTCATGTGGAACCCATGCCAAGACTTTTCTCATCAACAAGGATGAGAAAACTTTTCCAATACCAACATATATCTTTTCTCATCATTTTCTTAATATTTTCTATCAATCCAAACATTACTTTTTTCACTTCATTTTTTCACCATTTTCTTTCCTCTCATTTTCTCTCACATTACTTTCTTTCCTCTCATTCTAACCTCATCCAAACAAACCATTAGTATTTGTTTTTAGTCAAAAAATAAACTGAAAAATAATTTATGAATGAACCAAAAAAGCTAGAAAATAAAAAATGAACGGAAGGATGGAGTATGATGAATGAAAATAGAGTTCCATTAACACTTGACACTCGCCAATAGGGACACTAGTGGTGTCACTGTATTTTGGAGAACCTCCGATTCTCCAATAAAAAAATTGATGGTTTTTATCCTCCTTAATTCATTCCCTCCCTAGCTTCACCTCTATCCTCCCACCCCAGCCCCGTCGCCGGGTGAGAGGGTAGGAGTGGGGGTTTAGGGGGTGAGTTAGGAAGGTAGGAACCATCAATTTTCTGATTGAAGCATCAGAAGTATTCCAAAAACATAGTGACACTGTTAGTATCACTGTTGGCCAGTGTCAACCAATTCGTGTCAATCCATACTTTATTTAAAAAGGCATGGAGTGAATATTGCGTTTTCCCGCCTAAAGACTATGATCATTACATATGGTAGTGTGAAGTTAAAAACGTAAGTATTCGAAATTATAGTAATATAAAATTTACGTTTTATAAGTATAATTATTATATTATATTTATAATAATTAACTGTCATAATTATTTAAAATTACCATTTTTAAAGTAAGGAAATAAAAATCCGGAAATTACCATTTTTAAAATTTTTCTCTTTTAATGATAAAAATTTAAAAGTATTATATTTAATAAGACTGATTATTATTAAAAATGGTAAAAATGTAGACCAACGTAATTACGAATTAAATAAAAAAGGTAATTTCCGGATGTTTATTACCTTACTTTAAAAATGGTAATTTTAGTCTTAATTTTTCTCCTTTAATGATAAAAATTTAAAAGTATTATATTTAATAGGACTGATTATTATTAAAAATATAATGGTAATAATGTAGACCGACGTAATTAAAAATTAAATAAAAAGGTAATTCATTAAGATTGATTATTATTAATAGGCAAAAATTATTTATAAAAAATATTTATAAACTTTAATACACGCCAATCAATGCTATTAAAAATGTGTGTATGATTATTCTTGCCATAATTATATAATTATATGATTACTGTGTGACTAGGTTATATAAAACACGTGTGTATGATTATAGTATAATATAATTATGGTGAGAATAATTATACACACAATTTCGATAAAATAATACAGTAAAGCCCTTTAAATATTTATATTTATATTTATTTTTATGTTTAATAGAAAGAAAGATAATAACAAAAAAATGTAATAATTATTACTCCATGCAATTATTATCTATATAAATGGTAAGTGTCCGAAATTATAGTTTCCATTTTTAAACCATGCACGAAGTATGTCCATTACATATGGCAATTGTGAAGTTAAAATGGTAAGTCTTCGAAATTATAGTAATATAAAATGGTAGTTGTTAAGTTAATATAATTATTATTTTATAATAATTAACTACGGAGTATCATTTTTAAAGTGTCCGAAATTATACTAGCAAGAAAGGTAAGTTATAAAATTGGAAAGCGTAAGTTTTTAATAAAATTGGAATCTTACGTGTGATTTTAATTATACTAATTTTAATTAAAATCGTATGTTACGTGTGATTAATGTGTCAAATTAATTGTAGTAATTAAATATTAATTACCGTGTCAAATTAATTATAGTAATATGTGTGATTACCGTGTCAAATTTATTATAGTAATTAAATGTTAATGACTGTGTCAAATTAATTATTGTAATTTTAATTATAGTAATTTCAATTAAAATTGTACATTACGCTATTAATGAAATCTAATATTACGTGTGACTTCATAATAATATATTAATTACCGTGTCAAATTAATTATAGTAGTTTTATTTATAGTAATTTTATAATAGTAATTTTATAATGGCTATATTTTACTATATTTTAAATAGTAATTTTAATAAAAAAGGTAATAATTAACCAAGGTATTAATTATATAAACGTGTGACTACATAATTGGTTACTCCGTATTAATTACCGTGTCATTTTAATTATAGTAATTTTAAATATAATAATTTAAATAATTTAAATGTAGTAATAGTAATTGTTAAGTATTTAAAGATGGTAATAATTTAAAGTGTCCGAAATTATAGTAATACGGAGTATAAAATAGACTTTAACTACTGTAAGAATTAAATATCCTTTAAATATATATATATTTACGTTTAATAGCGAGAAAGGTAATAACCAAGAAAGGTAATAATTAACTATCATTTTTAAAGTGTCCAAAATTATACTAGCAAGAAAGGTAATAATAAAAAAAGGTAATAATTGACCACGGTATTAATTATATAACCTTGTGACTACATAATTGTATACTCCGTACTAATTACTATGTCAAATTAATTATAGTAATTTTAAATATAGAAATGTTATAATAGTAATTTTATAATGGCTATATTTTAATTATAGTGGCTATATTTTATAATGGCTATATTTTACTACTCCCTTCGTCCCAGAGTATTTGTACAGTTTGTCTTTTTTGAGTCAAACTAGACAAACTTTGAGCTTCAATTAAATAAAAACCGTAAAGTATTTTAATATAAAAATGACTTTATTGGATTTATCGTATTGAAAGACTTTCAAAATTGTATTTCATTATACTAATATGTAATACAAATTGAGAATAATTAGAGTTCAAAGTTTGTCCAGTTTGACTCGAAAAACTCAAACTGGACAAATACTCTAGGACGGAGGTAATATATTTTAATTGTAGTAATTTTAATAAAAAATGGTAATAATTAACCAAGGTATTAATTATATAACAGTGTAACTAGATAATTGTATACTCCGTATGAATTACCATGTCATTTTAATTATATTAATTTTAAATATAATAAATTAAATAATTTAAATATAGTAATAGTAGTTTAAATTTGTTATAGCATTTTGAAAAATGAATAATTTTTTTAACTCCGTATGCAAAAATCATATTATAAATACATCCGTTTATAAAGCTTTCATTGCCATTACATTCATGATGAAGCTACGAGCAATTAATGATGAAGCTACGAGCAGTTAGGGTTTATCACATGTTTCTGTAACAATAATCCAACAGGTTTTAGTCATGGACAACTCTTTGTTGCAGTTTCAAGAGTAATTAATCGCAGTGGGTTGAAGATTCAGATATGCAATGAAGATAATATTCTCACAAATTGTACAAATAATGTAGTCTATAAAGAAATTTGTAAAGCAATGATGTTTTGTACCTTAAAATAATATAATCTCTATATTTTATTGCATCTCATTTTTTATCATTGAAAAATGATTTGAATTTAATAACAAAAAATTAACCCGTGTAATGCACGGGTGTGATAATAGTTGAAAATATGAAATTATGGAGAAAAAAGAAGTGCCAAGCATTGAGGGAGAGTAAACAGGCATCTCCACAGTGTTTCAAAAACCCTCGCCTAGCTAACGTTCCCTCTCTCCTCTCAAGTAATCGGCGCCATTAACGCTCCGAAGTTCAGCTCTAATTCCCGGCAATGTTTTAGGGTTCCGGCGACATATCTTAAAAAGCACGGTCTCCCCCCAGTTTCTCGAGTGCGGACAACCCCCGACATAGACGCAGAGGGTCGCCGTCCATGATCCAGGTCCAGCATCCTGCCGGCGGCGAGCTCCCCTCCGACCGCGCATCCGGAATTTTTGGCGACTTCACTGTCCACTCCAATCCTCATCTTTATCTTACATCTTCCTCTAAAAAGGTTATTATTTAGCACTGACTAAATCTGAAATTATAGCATTTAAAATTTCAAGTTCAGATTTATCATTCTTTTTCAATTGTAAATGCGAATTAATAAGTTTTACCGGAGTAATTCCTTAATTTTTAGTTTTTGATGATTATTTAGTATTTAAAAATATTAAGATTAAATATTTTTATGTAGTTTCATTTGCTGCACTTGATGTTGATTATTTTAGCTCTAATTGTGAACTTATGAAGTGTTCCTACTTCCCCTCTAATTGTGAATTTATAAAGTGTTCCCTCTGATTGTTGGTTGTGAGTTTATGATTTGTATTTTTTAATTTGTGTATTCATTTAGTGGACCTCCATGTGCACACCTCCATATTAGTTGAGGTTGTACAGATAGGAATCATTTTTGGCATTAAAACAAAAACAACCCGGTAAAATCACAGGAATAGAGTTTGAGGAGGGTGGGTGTATGCAATTTTGCCCTTACAAAAAGGTAGAGTGGTTGTTTTGGCTCAAATAACAGAAATTGTGTTGTAGCATTGAAGCATAGTTTTTTTTATGATGAGTTTTACAGAGTATACCTTTTAGGGTCTATTGTAAATTCTGGTTCATTAGTGTTTTGAGAATTGTTTATATTGGAAAAAGTGGATAGAGATATTTAGTAGAAGTTGTTCAGTGGTATTATTGTATAGTCATAACTACTCGGTATAACTTCACTTCTACTCAATGATAGTAGTAACTAGTAAGAATACTAAGTAATACTCCTAGTAATAATAATTACTTGTCACACGATTACTGTGCAATAATAATAATAATACTAATACTAATAATAATAAATATAATAAAAGCGCACATATCATGTAGTAAAGCTAAGGCAAGAGGTTGTGGGCTTTCGCACCATGATTATTCTCTCAATTCGTTGATCATGGTTAATATTGAAAATGAATTCAAGAGGTTGTGGGCTTTCGCACCATCGTTATGACTTATGAAGATTGAAAAACAACCGGAGTAGTTTTTATCTTTTGTCTTGATCTTCATGCTCTTTTATATGCAGAAAAGTTTCAGTGAACACTGTTTTGACTTTTAAGAACTCAACAGGGAAAGGGTAACTTGTGTCACTGACCATGTTTATACTCGCTCTAACACCTCTGTGAGTGAACACTGAAATTCCATAATAAAGGTCATTCAATAGTCTGTGTAACTGAAAGGAACTATTAGGCATTAGCTAGTTCCAATCTGTATCATTTTGTTAACATGGCTAAGTCCCCCAGGTCCTCAATTTTGTGCTAATTGGTCCAATTTGAGAGTGGAATGTGAAATCAAAGGCAATGCTTGAAATTGCGCAATGCCTTTGCACAATGAAGCTAGCTTGAACAGTTCTTAGGCAAAACGTGCCCCAGAGCTATACCCAAAACCAGCAATAGGAAGGCTTACACCATTTTCTCCTGAAGCATACACGTCATTGCAAAATGCATCGAGGCTGATATAATCTTTCCTGTTCAACCATGATTTTTTAATTTATTTAATTTATGCACTGTTTTTGTACCGGTACAACCATGTCAAGGATTAATAGGATAAACTCGGATTGGGGATTCGAGACACATGTTTTTTTATCCCATTTTTGAACCACTAGCTAGTGATGGTCCCATTTTTCATTCATCAAGCTACTGCAATTTAAACCCTTTTCAATTACGTAATATCTGATATTGTGTTATGTTTGATTTTTTTTCATATTTCTTCTTCTTATTCCCTGGCCTGTCCATTTCTCTTCTTCTGTTACTTGATCTACAGTAATACAGTTCCTCCTAGTCAAGTGCAAATATTTTTATCATAGTTAATGTAGTGTTGCAAGAGTGAAGCATTACCTTTTTGGAACAGAGTGAATTTTTGTAGAGTTTTTACTGTCTTTTTCTTATGCTACATGCTCTTAGTTTTCTCTAGAATATACTCCCTCGGACCTCTCACACATGGATAAGTGACACATGAACAAAAAGTAGACCTGATACTGAAGTTGTAAACTGTGGATTTAGTCACCCAAATATCTCCTAGTATGGCATTTGAAAAACAATTTGTTATTAATGTGACAGCATAATGGGAAAACAGGACACATACATTGTGATGATGGGAGTATGTCTTTACTGATCATGTATCTTATGATGCGACTCACTATTCAGATATTTGCTCTTCTGAATTCCTATACACGATTCGAATCTTGAAGTATATATCTGTATATAATCATAGGCATGGAATGTATTTGCTTTCATGAAAAATGAGAACTACTGGTCAATATCTTCATTTGTGTTTCTAATCACAGGGAGCATTAGAACATTTGGCCTCAATATATCCACTGGAACTATGTGATGAAGCAAAAATTGAGCATTGCCGAGCAACGAGAGATCTGAGAAGCTGTGGGCGTCATGTGCGCAGTGTGTTAAGCTCATGTAAGCATGCATCTTTATGTGAGGAATGCAGCCAGAGGTGCGATGTTTGCCCAATTTGCAGGGTTTCTTTGCCAAAAGACGGGAACAGACTTCAGCTTCGTCTCTATTATGAGTGCATGGAGGCTGGTCTTATCTCAAGTAGGTGTGATGACAAGCGATTGGAGAAGGAAGACAACGAGAAACAGCTAACTGCTGATATTCAGCGGCTTTATTCCTTGTTTGATGTTGCACTGCAGAACAACTTGGTTTCATTAATATGCCACTGTATCCTCTTCCTCCATTTTAGATATGATGCAAATTTTCAGTTTGTTTCTTAATTCGTGATACTGACCTAAGTGACTATTATGCTGTTCCTGCTAACCCATAGCTTATCCTCACGGGTAATTATATTAAAATATATTCTGATAGGTAATTGTTTCCTCACATACTGTCAATCTGTCATTATGCTTGAAATGTTGAAAAGGGAGCAGTAATGACTTGTTACACTGCATGTTTTTTGCAGTATTTTGTTACTCTTTGTTGTAACTACATCCTGGCATGCTTTTTGAAATGCTAGATAATATCTTCAATGATCCTTAACAGAATGCTAATAGATGTTACAGATGTCTGTATGGACGAGAGTGCAGTATCTAGTGATCCAGTAATTGCCTTTTTGCTTGATGAAGTGGTTGTTAAAGATTGGTGCAAGAGGACATTCAGAAACATCCTGAATGAAACTCAAGTGATATGTATCCTAAGGAGTTCACTTTTTACAATCACAAGTCATAATTCCATTTTCATTAGTAAATGAATTTGCGGTTCAACATTCCTTGATTTTTGTTAGATAATCTCTCATTGCAAGGAATGGAAGAAAGCTTAAGCTCACTTCTAAAGCTGTCTGTGAATCTAGCTGGCTTGTCCAATGTTATTGATGTTTTGGAATTATCATTCAAACACTCTATTTCAGCAAAGCTACATGATCTACATCATCTTCAAGAGCACATACTGAAAACTAAGCAGGTTTAACTTTCTGTCCTTAATTCTCACAAAAATTGGTTTTCTATTCATTAGCTCATAGATCATGGATGCTAAACTAGTTGTTTGGTCCATTGAATTCCATAAATACAATTAATGTGAAATCGGAAAATGTTGGCCGTTGTTAATTATTCACAATATTCTTTTGGGATATTATTCAACTAGAGGTTGGCTTGATTTGAGCTAGACAGTGATAATAATATAGACTGTTATTTACATGGATAGAGTTATTTTCAAAGCTTTTGATGGTCCTATTGCAAATCTGTACCAGTTATTATTGATTATTCAATGATTGCATGGTGCTGACAAATTTCAATGAAGAATCTTTGTTACTGAGCATTGGTATTTGTGAATGGCCCTTAACCTGGCATTTTGAAATATTTAGCACATGGAGACGATGGTTTGGTGTATAAGACATAAGTTTCTGGAGAGTGTGAGTTCTCGTTTCAATGGAAAATTTGCATCATGGGTTAGTCTTGTTCGTGAAAGAAAAACTGCTGCAATCAAACGTGCCTGGCCAGATCCTGCAAGCCAGTCTGAAGAATCAAGTCGGCGCGCAACACTTTTTATTGAAGATGCACTTGCAAATCTTGAATCAGAGCTATATACTGATGATTGGCAGGAGGAATATGATATTTCATGCCTGCAAAAAGAAGAAAGGTCTTCTTCATTTTTACGGTCAAGAATAGGGGGAATGGCTGGCAGTTACCCATTTGAAAATCTGCGTGCTGCTACTGATATTCTCTTTTTACATGGAAGTTCTGATTTAGTGGTTGCAAAACAGGCAATTGTATCCTCTTCTATTATTGTTTACGTGCACACACATGTGTATTTGTGTTTGTTGCATATCCCCTCTACACAAATATTTCTGGCATAAATTTATCATTCATGGTAAACCTTAACTATTCCATAGTTTTTGTATTATATTTTTGACCGACAGTGGACTGTTCCTGATGAGAAATGGAGAGACATTGTTGATGACTTTGCTGCCACATTTTGTGTGTCAAGGCACTCCATATTGGAATGCTGTGTATATTTTTTGTTGGATGACCACACCGATCAGTGTTTGCAGGTGATATTTTCTATTTCAAGACAAAATTGTTAACCCGAGATTTTTTATTTTTCACTTTTTCAGAACTATTTGTATGATATTTTAATATCCATGCACTTAAAGAGTTGCACTTAAACTTCTCATGCATTTTTGCATTTATTTTGAAAAGAATTGCCTATCAAAACAGAGCAATCGACAATCAAAACCTTGAGCCACTTTCCGGTTTAAAAAATACTCCGTAATAGTATTGCACTATTGCCTCTATTCCCATTTTATGTTTGTTTTTCTATCCAAGTTCTAAATAGTACAGTATTATGTACTCTTGTTTTTTCCAATGCATATTCATATCATTTGGAACTTCATCTTAGAATGTTGAATGAGCCTTTTAATATCATTTGTAAACAAAACAACAACATTACTCCAATGTCTCCAAGGCTTCTGCCTAATGCCTAACCCTTATGTTTGAAACATAGAGCGGCTGTTTCTAGATGACTTATGGTGAGCTTGGAAGTTGCATTGACTAACCGCTACTTCACTATTAAAAGAAGCAAATATAGTTTAAAGAGCCACGTTTGATCTAAAATACCCCAAAGCCAAAAATAGTGAATTTTCGCTCCATTGCAGGTGATGGAAAATCATTTGTAAAAAAATACATCGTAATTTGTCACTAAGGATGTATTCTCTTCGTTTGATCTAAATGATTCTGTTATGAATTTATTAAGTTTTGATCTAGTCTGATTTGATGATCCATTTCTAGTTAAAGTTGAAGTTGTTTTTGGTCCGATCTGATTTCATTTGATTGCAAAAAGAGAAAAATAATTAATAAGAATAAGTTGAAGAGAATAGGCTCTAAGGCCATTAATATAATACTGAACTGCAAATGATTAGTGGCAACTCTTATTAACTGAACAAGGCACACAAAGTGGGATTGGAGTATTATACCACAATGGACAACATCAATGGTAATGTTAGGCTACTTGAGGTGAATTTGTGATACATTATCAATTGCTTTGTTGATCATTTACTTGTATCTCTAGGAAGCTTGCCGCCTTCTCCCAGAAATCTCAAGTCCCACTATTCATCCTAAAGTTGCACAAGTTCTTTTAGAGAGGCAAAATCCTGATGCGGCTCTTATGGTTCTGAGATGTTCAGGACGAGATGGAGCGCAGTTGGTTTCACTCGGAGAGGCTGTCACTGCAGTTCGGGTACTAGTGGAGTGTGGACTTCTATCTGAAGCATTCATGTTTCAGAGAATGATTTGTGCTAAGGTGAAGGAAAAGAAGCCACGAGGTGAAGCATTTAATGATACTTTGAAGGAAATAGATGGTGAAAACTATTCCTGGGATCTGTGGGTGGACACTTTAGTCTCTGAAATTTGTTGCCTTTGCATAAGGAGAAATTTTGTTGATCGCATCATAGAATTTCCATGGAACTCTGACGAGGAAAGATATCTTCATAAATGCCTCTTGGATTTTTCCACAGAAGACCCTTCAACAATTACAGGAAGTCTACTTGTTGTTTTCTATTTACAGGTACTAACTCTACTGTATTAACTGTATTATTGATAATTCTAGCTGTTAATTATCGGTAAATACCCACTTATATCAAATCTACTTCTCTTGCTTGGGTTTGTTATTGGCTGTTACAGTTGCTAACTTCCTTTGTGCATTGGCTTCCCATCAGTGAGTGCTGTAATTATGAACAAAATCTGAGTTAAATATAACTTTCTTGTGGTTTATTGTCTTTGTTCAGCGTTATAGGTATGTCGAGGCATATGAAATTGATCGCAAGCTTCGAAGCATGGAGGAGAGCTTTATTTCACAAAATTCTGTCGGTGAAGCTGTGTTAGGCAAGATAAAGTCAGTAAATCATTGGAGAACAGGCTTGGTTGTAAGTGGTTCAATTGTTTCTATTGCTCATCTTACTTTTGAAAATGCATTTTGGATGTCCAATAGGGCTAAGGTGAACCTTTTAGTTCGGCGAAATTGAACATAATTTGTCCTCAACTCAATCATAATATGAGTCCACTTTGATGAGTGTACAACTTAATTTTAGTAAGGTACAACTCTTAGGGCCTATTTGGTGTGGGGGAGGGATGAGGGAGTGGGAGGGAATGGGAAGGGACGGGGAGGGTTTCTGTTCTTATTGTTTGGTTGGGGAAGGGATGCATAGGTTTTCACCCATCTAATTTTTCTGATTTTGGCTAGGAACTCAAACGCTCCCTTCCACAATTTTCTTCTTCTTTTAAACATGCCAATCTGAGTTTTTTAGTCTTCAATTAAGATTATGACTTGGAAGTTGTGTTCTAATTGGATCCCATCTCTGAGTTCCTTTCATGCCCTGTGTTTTTTGTCTAGCCTCTTTGTTTTAGTTTGTTCAGTTGCTTACAGTTGTAAGAAGACAAAAATCAAGAAATTGTACCTCCTTAGGCTATGTTCTATTTGCCTGATTGGTTCTAATTTGATTTTTTAAGGTCTGGTTGTAGTGTAATTTAAAGTTGCTGATTTGATCTGGTCTGGTCCAATAAGAATGAGTATTGAGTAATAATTGGAAAAGAGAATGAGGCCTTATTTTCTACTTCGTATGTTGATTCGTGTATTATCAACAAAACCCAATTGGAGGTACTAGGCTGAACCATCCAGTCTCAGACATTGTAAACAAGGTATTGTGCAGCTTCTTGGAGAGAAATGGAGAAAGAGGAGAAACACGAAGACATAGACAGGAGGGAGACAGAGAGGGAGAGAGGAGAGAGAAGGAGACAGAGGGATGATAGAGAGAGAGGACAAAGAAGAGCAATGGAGAAGAATAAAGTGAAAAAAGATGGGATGAAGAGAAAGAAAAACCCTGTTTTGGGGGGATTGAATATGAGGGGGGGGGGGTACTCCCTCCTCCCCCAGCCAAACTGGCCCTTAGGGAATACTAAATATACCCCCATGTTTCAAGCAAACTGAAAAGTAGGGCTCTCTTTATGGGACAAAAGCAAGTTAAGAAATAGTACAGCTTTTTATCGCATGAATGGAGCATTTTATTAATGGAAGTTTTCCAAAGTGTCTGGTCAATTAGGCTCTAAGTTATTTAACTATATATTTTTCATGGGATTTTCATAAAATCTTTCTAGTTATTTCTAAAAAGAGTTTTGGTTTAAATATCTATAACAAGCCATCCTTCATTTTTATTGTGTTATTTTTGTGTTGGATAGAAGACCTCCTAAATGTCTTCCTTGTGTGGTTGTAGTAGTAATTGTCACGTTGCTAGAGTAGGCTACTTTTCTAAATACAAACTTGTCAGTTTGCCGTTAGTAAATCTTCCTATTGGTAGATCATGGCTTTTCATGTTTCGATGAAAAATAAGGTTTATACATATTTTCTGCACTTGCCTGGTTCCTTAACTTACTATTCAACCCTTCGAATTTTTTTTCAATTTGCAGTTTTTTTTTAAAATTTATTGTTACATACTGTTATTTTTTCAGAAACCTCTTTACTTTTTTAGGTTGGGGTGACTGGGTAAGGTTTGCCCCCCGCCGCCGCCAAAGACCCCACTCGTGGGATACTAATGGATTGCTGTTGTTAATGCTTTTGAAAATTTAGTAACTTTCTGTTGTTTATTTAGACACTAAAGGAAATAAGGAATCCATTTCAAAACAGTCAAACTAATGCATTACGTTACATGCTTTATTCAACTGCAGGGCAAAGGTATGGAGCTGCTGCCTGATATCATTCAGCATCAAATAAAGGCTGGAAAGTTGGCTGAGGCTATTCCAAAAAAGGAAAATGAGAGTTCACCCAAACCAGATGTCCATCTTACACAAGGGTCTGTTCTATCCAGTTTATTGACACGTCCTCTTCCTGACCGAGCAGACAATGCAGATATTTCCCATAAACCTTCATTTCTCAAATCTCCAACAAAATATGGACTGTCTAACCTTCCAATCTTCCAAGTAGGGAGCCATGCCTCTCCTAACCCACATGCTCATTTATTTATTAACTCTCCAACTACAGAACAACGTTCATCAAGAGTATCTCGAAGTAGCCACCTTCAGAATCACCAAATCAGTAAAGTCTCAATTGAGAGAATTCCGAAGGGTTTCCTCAATGGATCCATAATATCTAACAAACACAGCCCACTCACAGGTTCTATTGAGAATTCAAGCCTGAAAGTTCCTGCTAAGCATTTGCTTCCAGACACAGATAGATCATGGATGCCTCCAAATGACTCTATGGACTTATCGTGGAGGTAAACATCCTCTTTCCTCTCTGTTCTTGGTCGTAACGTGTTCAGTAACCAAAAAAGAGCTAATGCCGGATACGGTCCATCAACTATATACCATATCTATTTCTCAACTTGGTTCTTGACTTTCGTTTGGACCCAATTTGTTCATTGACTACAACTTTATTTACTCATGCATTTTCACTCTAAGAATGGTTTATTTGTATGCCAAGTGCAAAAGTGGGTCAAAATAAACCTTGTTGAGGGCCAAGTTAAGCTTGAATTTGGATCTAAATTTAGTGAATGGACAAAATAGCCTTTCTAGTTTGTGGACTATATCAGGTTTAAATCTCATAGTCCAGGACCAAATTGACTCCAATAAAAAGTCAAGGGCTAAATTTGTTGAGTTCTTATCTAGTATGAGGAACTATATCGGGATTAAATGTGATACTCGAGAACCAAATCGAGTCCAATAAAAAGTCAAGGGCCAAATTGAGAAATAGTTGAGGGACTAAATTTGGGGTTTTGCTCGTTTGTTTAGAAAGAGTAAAACGGTATAGTTGCTCATTGTATTTGTTACTCGCCAGCAACCAAGAAGAGAGGGACAAGAATGCAAATTCGAGATCCAGGTGGAGGTCTGATGACACTAGTGAAGAAGAAGAAGATTACTCAACGCCAGACAGACTTACGGGATTTGCATCTCACACTACGAAGACAAGTGGTCGAAGAAGAGGGAGATTTTCTAGGAGATGAAAGCCTCTTCATTTCATGCCATTATTTTTGCTAAATTAAAAAGGTACCCCTCATGTTTAAGCCAAGGCATAGAATTGGTGAATTTCTGCTTTTACCTTTTCCATTCGAGTTCACCGCCTCTTCCTTTGGAGTTCTTTTTGTTTTCCTCAATTCGAATCGTACTTGTTTTAACACCGATGTAACAAAGCCTTGAAAGAGCATTTTGAGAATTCGAGCCCCTGGGATACATATACATGTGTGTGTGTGTGTGTGTGTGTGTGTGCACACACACACAGGATAGAAGTATTTGTGTTTGTACTTGATAGCAGTAAGGTTGAGAGGCAAGATGGCACATGCTATCTTTCTTTTTAATTTCTCTGAGATGTTTTTGAGGCACTTTTTGACTAAATTCTGTAGATAGTTTCAGTGCGGATTTGTTTTTTTGTGAAATCCTAAGAATTTGGTCATGTTTCAAAGATTCTTTGGCCTTTCTTGACAATAAGATGTTTGTATTGCTAGGTAGAAGTTGGTGGTTTTAGCTATTTGTATTTAGCTCTTTTGGTTAGCTCTTTTCATTACTTGTTTACATAGAGAAATGTTTCATAACGCAATATTACTCCATTCCTCCTGACAATAGATAAAGCAAAATGAGCGATCCCCTAAAGCGAAATTGAGCATGTTTTATTTCCCAAATTGAAAGTCAAATTTGATTGCATATGATGTCGAGAAGAAATTATGAAAAGTGCATGGTTATGGAAAAAATGATAGACCATATTTCTTATCTAAAACAAAAATGTGACTTTTATCTTGAAATTGAAATGACAAAAGGTATGGTTGTACAACGAATGAATGAAATATCATGAAATTTTATTTGTATTTGAAAAATAATACTCCCTCCGTTCCGTTTTAAATCGCCCGTTTTGACTTTTGGGCATATTTAAGGAAAATTAAAAATAGAGTTGATTTTTCAAAATTGTCAAATACTTTTTAGGAAGGATGATGATGAAAGAGAATAAAATGTGGAGAAGATTGACTTATTTTAGAGGTAGTTTAGGTATTTTATTTTTAAAAGTTTACGAAAACAACTAACAGGCAACTTATTTTGGGACGGAGAAAAAAGGCAAACAGACAATTTAAAATGGGACGGAGGTAGTACCATTATTCATATTCATATTTTTTTATTTGAATAATTATTACTATTAGTATTTGATGTTAAATTTAAATATTCACCTTGTATTCGTATTCTGTTTTAAAATATAAATTGAGTTTTTTTACGTTTTATAACTTCAAATTTCAAGGATTGTAGCGTCTGAGAGTGCGAAAAGGCCGCTCGGTTGTACAACTACTGATCAAAGTGTTTTTGTTAAAAAATAAGAGTAATGACGAAGGTCATGTTCACAAAATCGAATTTGATTTTGAGTTTTTTACGTTTTATAACTTCAAATTTCAAGGATCGTAGCGTCGTCTGAGAGTGCGAGAAGGCTGTTCGGCTGCACAACTACCGATCAAAGTGCTTTTGCTAAAATATAAGAGTGAATGATTTATGATATTCCGAGATATCGAATTTGATATTTTTTGGCTTCAACAAATACCAAAAAAAGATATTGATATCTTGAGATATCAAAATCCATACACTAGTTGGTTGGTTTCTAACATAACTCATTCGATAAAAAAATGATCCTTCAGTGAAACAAAACTCCACAACATGAGAATGAAAAGCAGAACTTCTCCCATGGCTTGAGTGGTAGGAAGCACATTCCCTAAGATTCATGGTTGAAGTTCACCTAGGTTCAAGTCTCAACGGACACGAAAGTACTATAGCCTAACCCTCCAGTCCCTCGTCTCCCCTCCTCCTGGTGGGTCAGAGAGCTGGTAGTGGAGGCGCAACATTAAGAATGTAAGAACCACCGTAAGAGTTCTGGGTGATTTTTATGACATTGATTATCAATGTGACATGGGCGTGAACGTTTAAAAAGCATAGTCAAATTTAAAAATATTTTTAGAACAAGAGAATAAAACGTCACATGAAAATATTATTTTATCATTGATTTTGGAAAAATTTTAGTTGTCATCAAAAGGTTCTTTTATAAAGAAAATATTTTTCCCAAGGGTATTTTTAAATTTCACTAGTGGTCCTTCAATTCAATTAGTTATTCATAGTTAGCCATTTTACTTCAGAAATTTCAAAAATAGTCGTTAACGTCACAAAAAATATTCCATTCTTGATTCTTCTTTTACTTTTAAATGGTGCATAACATGTTACAGAGTTAATTGCATCGTTGGTTCTTCAACTTAATTATTTGCGCACATTTAGGTCTTGTTTGGTAATTGGCTTTTCAGCCCATATTTGGCTGTTTGACCATATATGGCAGTTTTGACTAGTCAAAACAGCCAAAAGTAATGTTTGGAACGTGGCTTTTAAGATTGGCTTTTAGATTCAAACTGCTGAAATTTGAAAAGCTAATCACTGCAGCATTTTCATTGGCATCTTGGAGTAATTTATTTATTTTCCCTTTCGTACATCCATACTCCGTATGGTATGACTCAAGAGATTGAAAATATTGTATATTTTTTAGTGGAGTTCCACACATATTTAACAAAAAAGAATTATTCATATTACTCCGTATTTTTCATGTTGGACAAAGCAAAAAAAACTACACCAATAAATGTAATTCTCAAAATTTTCAACTGCGCAATCCAGTTTCAAGCACGTTATTTGTTTATATAATTTGGTATTTTTATCAAACTTTAAAAAATTAAACTCATTACAATAACAAATTAATTTATACATATATGGAGGGATGTCTAAAAATGTAATTTTCACTACCAACAGCTGTTTATGGGTAACTGAATTTGCCAAACAAGTTTTCTTTAACAGCCAATACAATCAGCCGGTCAAAACTGCTAATTCAAACTGCCAGTCAAATCAGCCAACACAAACAGCCAACAGCCAACCGCTAACTGCTAATCTCCAAACAAGGCCTTAGTCTTTCAATTCTACAAATTCCATAAATAGTCTTTAAAATCATAAAAAGCAATTCATTCTTGATCATTCCGTTACTTCTAAACAGTGTATGAGTTAGACGACAATTTTTTTCTGTGGACCTAAGACGCGTGCTCATTTTATGGACATTGATACGTTTGTAGCATAAAAAAGTGAGCCTAATATATAAAAGAAAATGAAATCACCCTACGTATCACTCTAACTCATCTAATACTACGCATTTAGCACTGCTTATTGTTTTTTACCAAATTAGCTATTTATGTTTTCAATCTCTTCCAATAATACCCTTTATGTTGTCAATCCCTTTTATCTATCCCACTATCAATTGTTTCAATTCTTCTCTCAACTCCTAAATCAAATTGGACTCACATAATGTATACTTTGTGCATAGTGGCATAGTACCCTTTTTTTATCAAATTCTTTCTTCAATTAATTAAATGTAGTTTTGAATAAATATATATTATAAAAATATGATATATCAAAATTATATCATAAAAATATGCCAATTATAAATACTTTCTTCATCCCAAAATAGGCCTCTTATTCGATTTGCGATGTTTGATTGAAATTATTTTCAAATCAATATAAGTAAAAATTTATGTATAATTAAAAAATAAGAATTATATATTAAAAAACTACATAAAAAATTATATAAAGAAGTGGTGACAATGGGACTTACATATAAAACTACCATTGTTATAAATTATTATTTGACTTTCATTTTGTGCAAACAGCTTGTGGTTGATTTTATGACAATGGAGTTTTTACCATGAAAGAGATTGTTATGAAATGTGTTACTCAATATGGTGGCTGTAAATATTTGGGCAGTACGGATTGATCATGTTTTGCAAACACTTTCTGACAGTGAATTTGTCTTTTATATATAATGTGGCAGACAAGACTGAAAATATGGCAGTGTATAAAAGTTTGCGGCCGAAACAAATTTTTATGTACTTCATTAAATTCTGTTAAAAATATGGAAGTGAAATTAGACATACATATAAAACTGCCAATATTATGAATTATGAATTAAGTTTCATATTGTGCAAAAGCAATGCGCTTCGTTCTATGACTATTGGGTTTGAACGTTCAAGAGATCGAGTTCGTTATGGAAATGTGTTGCTGAATAGGGGGTTATTATTGTTAGAGTCCATCCCACATCGGAAGTCCAAGAGTAAAATAATCCGGTATATAAGCTCTTGAGTTAAACTAACTAATCGATTGGATTCAATCTTTTAATGTGGTTCAACCCAAGTGTCTTATAGCCCAATCTAGTTGTCCATACCCATCCTAAATTTTATCATGGTATCGGAGCAGGTTTTGGCCCACCTCGTTTGTCAAGGTGTCCGTCTAGACGTTCATTCCTAGCGGCCCGTTTGTCTTTAGCCCAGTTGTCCGTATGGAGTATGTATCCAACGGCCTGTGGCCTGTTTAGTTTAACACGATTGCTCGTCTGGAAGTTTATACCCAGCGGCTCGTGGTCCTTTAGGTGTTGGCGCTTAAAAAAAATAATCAAGGGAATGGGAGTTCATTTGCAAGTTAACTCTGGAGTTAAACTAACTAATCGACTGGATTCAATCTTTTAATGTGGTTCAACCCAAGTGTCTTATAGCCCAATCTAGTTGTCCATACCTATCCTAAATTCTATCAATTATTTTTTTGACAGTGTGGAATAATCAACTTCTAGCTACACTTTTTGAAAATGTCCTATGACCATGTTTGCCTAGTGTGTTTTGGTCAAATGGGATTTATATCTAAAAATCCCAATGTAATAAATTATTCATTGAGTTTCCATTGGAAGTGGATACAAAAAAAATCACCAAAACGAGTAGTGCTTGAATAACTTTAATAAACAAAGCAGTGTGGAATGCTTGTGATCTAGGTATACTTTTTGGCAATGTGTTATGTCCTATGTTTTGGCCAGTGTGCTATGTTGCACAATTCTACATAATGTTGTAGTGTATGCTGCTTACAAAGTCTTAAAGTTTAAAACATAATACATTCCATTGTCCATTTCTTTTCAGTACCACATAAATGAAATTCAACATATGTCTAATACTAACATCTTCTAACATTATACAAAATCAAGAAAGACCAAAAAAGCCAAGCCCATGTTTGGTCAGTGTCTTTTGGTGTAGTTGATTATTTATGAAACTAATCATATATTTTTGGGCAATGTGGAATTTATACATGAAAACAGTCATACACATTTTTGACAATGTGTAATTCATACATGAAAATAGTGTAAATTCATACATAAATAGAACTATACACTTTTTGAAGGTGAAGAATTTATACATGAAAACACTGCTACATACGTCAATGGACATTGCACTCCAACATGAAATTAAGAAACACAATAATACACTCACACACTGCCGTAAGACATAACAATATATATCCATTCTACACTGCCACATTAAATACCGACATATAAAAAACTACACTGCCCACTACATAATTACAAGTGAACAACCACACTGCCCAAAACAATCATATTTTTTGGCAGTGCG